CCCTTCATTTAATCGACGTGTTTCGTACCAGGTGTGGAGCCATCCGTCAGTTGCATTCACCTAGAACACTCACAACGAGAGCCAAGTCTTGATTTCCTATCCAGAGCTCGAGAGCCTTCTTTGCATGAGTGATTCTAAGGAGCACTTTACAAGTAAAACACTTTAAGCAGGATAAACATGAGTGAAGAGTAAAAGGGTATACACAGAGTTAATCAGCCTATTTAAAATATATTTTCCTTTCAAATTGTTGTGCAAGTGATGTTTTCTTACACTTGTTTAAGAAAATATGTTTTTAAAAAATATGTGGCATGGATACTATTTTATATAAATCAGGTGGATAGCTATGCCTCTATCTATCTATCTATCTATCTATCTATCTATCTATCTATCTATCTATCTATCTATCTATCTATCCATCCATCCATATATTATATGGGTATGATTGTACATAAGTATGTATGTGTTAATACAGGAGATCAAAATCTGGGCTTCGTGGGGCTGGGAAGGTGGCTCATTGGTAGAACACTTGCCTTGCATGCATGAGGCCCTGGGTTCAATTCCTTAGCACCACATAAGCAAAAAGAAAAAAGCCGGAAGTGGCGCTGTGGCTCAAGTGGTAGAGCGCTAGCCTTGAGCTGAAGAGCTGAGGGACAGCGCTCAGGCCCAGAGTTCAGGCCCCACGACCGGACCCCCCCCAAAAAAAATCTGGGCTTTGTGTTCTTGCTTGCCTTTTTCCACTTCAGCTGACACTCTACTATACCTCCACTTTTAGCTTTTTTTCTGGATAATTGGAGACAAGAGTCTGTTAGATTTGTACCGCACTCACTCTGAACTGCTGTCCTCAGATCTCTGCCTCCTGAATATCAATGATTAAAGGAGCCTGTGTTGTGTTGGGCATGCCCACTTATCATCCAATACCCAACTGAGGAAAGTTACAGCCCATTTTCCTTGTAATGCTGTCATTCAAGTACACCTAGTTCTGCTGAAGTCCTAGAATGAGGATTTTGCACCAGGTGTAGGTTACCTCTACATGTTCAAACCCTTCTCCTTGCAACATGGAAGGCACTGTATTCTGACTGGTATTAGGGTTTTACTAAAAATGGAAGACTTCCCAATTTGCTTTGTGCCACTTCCATTTTCTTTGGGACACACACACACACACACACACACACACAGATATACATACTCTGAGACAGCATATTTCCACATAGTCCAGGATGGCCTGAAACTTGGAATCCTCCTGCCTCAATCTCCCTAATGCTGAAATTATAAGTATACACCACTTCACTGGGACAGATTTGATACTTTTATGTATACTAACGAAGTAGGGGTTTCATTATTACATTCCTATATAGGTATATGGTATAACTTCATCATAGTCACCCCTCATTCCCTTCCTCTCCCTTTACTTTTTTTGTTGCTGGTTCTGGGGTTTGAACTCAGAGCCATGAGCTCTTTTGCTCAAGGCCAGTACTCTATCTAACATTTGAGCCACTGTGTCACTTCTTCTGGGTGGTTATTTGGAGATAAGAGTGTCAAGGACTTTCTTGCCTGGGCTCGCTGAGTAGCTAGGATTACAGGTGTGAGCATCATCCAACTTCCCTATACTTTTTAAAAGCTATTCTTCGCTTGCTACACTGAAACTCTCAAGACTTTCAGACCTGAACATTGTCCTGGGTTGCAGTACACGAGCATACCAACAGGTGGAGCTCTCCCAACACATTTTTTTTCTACAAAGAACTATAAAGATTCTCTCACTAGCTCATTCATTATGTTCAGCTTACTTAGGTCTGCAACAACTATTTGTTAAAGGTAAAATTATTTTTACAATATACCAATATACACTAGTATCCCTGAATACTTTTGATTATCGTATTCAAATGTCTAATTTTCTTTCATGTAGATCAGAGATGACCTTAAAATTCATTCATATTTATGAGACAGAGAGGGGGAGAGAGAGAGAGGGAGAAGGAGAGGGAGAGAAAGAGAAGGGGAGGGAGAGAGGGGACACCTAGTTCAACGGCTTGAACTGAGCCTCACATGGCTTTTTTGTTCACTGCTGGTGCTCTACTACACAGCCTGTTTGGCTTTTTGACTGGTTCATTGGGCGTAGAATCTGCATAGGCTAGCTTTAAACTAAAATCCTCAGATCTCAGGCTCCTGAATAGCTAGAATTACAGGCGTGAGCCACTGGTGACCAGTTTAAGTTTATATTTTTAAGAGTAGCAATATATGCAAACATCAAAAAATCATTTTAAACTAAGTGATAAGCATCATCCACAGTTTTATTTACCAAGAATTACTGGCTTGCTTTAGTTAATTACACATCTGTGTGTGGGGGTGGGCACAGACTGGGGGGTGCACTGTCTAATTTTACTATGCTCATCGTTAGCTCTGAAAAGGTAGGTGTTCTATCTCCTTATGCACATAAGAACACATTTAAATTTGTTTTAATTCTTCACTTGGTTACTTTTGCATTCTAGGGGAGACTACTTATTAAAGATAAGCTTGGAGGTCTTGGGCAATGCGGAGGTGGTTAGAACACAGAGCCCGGGGTTGGGATGCCAGGATCCACCTTGCGCCTAATGAGAGGTGTGAGCATTTGAGAGCTTCCTCCTACCACACGTGACCCGTGTACAGGTAAGAGGGCAATCCTGGAGAACTAGACGGCTCCACACACAACTTGTGAGCAGCATCTGGGACTGTGCCACATAGACGTTCATCGAACTACCATCATTTTATTATAGCTGAAACTCAGCAGAACCAAGCTACAAGAAATCTCCAATAGCCAGGTGCTGGTGGCTCACGCCTGTAATCCTAGCTACTCAGGAGGCTGAGATCTGAGGATCGCGGTTCAAAGCCAGCCCGGGCAGGAGAGACCGTGAGACTCCTATCTCCAATAAACCACCAGAAAACCGGAAGTGGCGCTGTAGCTCAAGTGGTAGAGCGCTCGCTTTGAGCTGAAGAGCTGAGGGACAGCGCCCAGGCCCAGAGTTCAAGCCCCACGACCGACAAAAAAAAAAAAAAAAACTCCAATAAATTCCATATCCACAAAGATCTGAGATGCGACTAGCCTGATCCAAACTGCCTAGATACATCAAGCAATGCTCACCCTCTTGTTTGTGACATGAACAGAGTGATCTGCTTTGCTTGGAATTGGTTGAATTAAACATGTTAGCTTTGTTTCTCAGACACTCACATGACATGAGATTTTTTTTTAAAGACCAAATATGAGGATCAGCTGCCAAAAACACCTTGGGAGTGGGCAGAAGTCAGGGGCATTGGGCAAAGGGGCAAGAGGAAGTGGCAGGAAAGGGAATAGAGCAAGGCAGGCTTCTAGAGCTGTAGAAGGGGAGGGCTGTTCCCACCCATGACATAGATGCTTCTGTTATGTCTGTAGTATTGTCACAAATAACATAGGACTCTGCCAAATTAGCCTGCTGTTTGGCCTCTGTGACTTCAGCTGAGGACTGACATGAGATCTAACTGACCCAGAAATGTCCTGAATTAATAGATTAATGCTGGGTTACCCGAATGCAACCCATCCACCTGCACTCACTGCCCCAGCCCGTGGTCCCAACCCACAAGATGCCACTTAACCATTTAAGATGCCCCTGTGCACACATCCCCTTCCTACCAGTTCTCTCAGATAGGCTTTGCCAAGAACAGATGCCCAAGGCCTACCGGACCAGAAGGGTGAACTCCTACTCTGGAGTTAGGACTTACTGAACAGAACACTGTACTTTTGTGCTCAAAGCTGATGAGCAGTGGTTTCTCCAGCGCCGTTTCCATCAGTGACAGGCTCTGCCCCACAGCAGCGCTGTGCTCCTGGGGAGCCGAGGAACAGCCCAGGGCTCAGAATCACAGATACCATGCAGTCCCAACTAATCATCAAGATGTCCATGTTTAAAAGGTTCAAAGACAAAAGTCATGAGGGAACCTGTTTTTACAATTCACACTCTCTCAGTAGGTTTTAACACAAAGGTTATATGACAATGTTATCTATCTATCTATCTATCTATCTATCTATCTATCTATCTATCTATCTATCTATCTATCTATCTATCTATCTGAAGCAAGGTCTTGCTATATAGCCCAGCTTAGTTTTGGTCTACCGATCCTCTTGCCTGAGTCTCCTGAGTTGCTGAGATTACAGAAGTGTACCATCACACCTAGCTTCAATAATTTTTCTTATGCATTGATAGAAATTAAACCCTGAACCTTGCACGTTAGGCAAATGCTCTATCATTAAGCTTCATCCTGAACCTTTTCTGTGTGTGTGTGGGGGGAGGGGCAGGTTCTTATTCTGTAGTCCAAGCTGTCCTCAAACTTGTCAGTCTCCAGTTTCTACATGGCTGGGATAACAGGCCTGGACCATTCATGTCTTTCTTATGTAACTAGAGTATTTCTTATCCTCAGATGCTTAGGATCCAAAGTGTTTCATATCTGGGAGTTTTTAAGAGTTAGGTAGACTTTACCAGGTAAGTATCTCAAATAAAAGAAAAAAAATCCTAAATGCTGCAAAACCTAACCTTTTTGGAGCATCCCAGGTTTCTGGATTTCCCTCTAAGGTGACCCAGCCCATATGGCTCATTCAGAGGTTGACATACAAATCTGGATTTTGACCTACAATGATTTTTCTTTTTTGGTCTAGAGTCTAGGAATCTTTGTTCTATGCAGAAACCATGAAGAATGAGGGCTGCAGGGTGGTGAGGGAATGAAGAGTCAGGAAATATAAATTCTCAAGAGCTATGCCACCAATGGCTGAGTTAGGTTTCTTCAGGTCGTTTATCATTCTTTAGGGAAATGGAATAACAGTTTCAAAAATTAATGACAGGGTCTGGCTTGGAGGTAAACCAGGAGCCAGATGTTTCTATAATCCAGTCTCCCCCCATCTTCCCCCAAACCTGCGACGACATAAGATCTAAAAGAAGGGCCAGGCTCCAAAGATGTCGAGAGAGCTGTGTCCCGCCGGCCTCCTGCAGGCCAAACAGGCTCACCTGAGTCCTTCATGGGGCAGAGGGCACACTGCATGCCCCAGGCCTCGCCGTACAAGCAGCAGCACTCGGTGTACGTAGTCTGCTTGCCCACGAGAGGACGGCTGCACACGTACTCATCACTCAGATGCTCCCAGCACAGATCCTGGTAGACATCCGTTTCTTCTATTTGTTCTAGAAGGGAAGACAGGGTACTATGACAATCTGTCTGTGACTCCTATGTCATCCATACTGGTAGAAGCCAGTGAGCCTCTGTTTCCATCCCTAGTTCTAAGTCTGCATCCAGCCTGGCCTTTCCATGGATCAAACCAACCTCTGTCATCTCCAACTGAGAGTCACGCCTTCACTCTATCAGCTGAAATCCAGCCTGCCCACCACTTCCTGGTTGATTTCTTTCCTCTGTAGTGTCCCTTCATTACAGAAAATGCTCCTCACTCTTGTCAGTCCTCAGTGGACTTCCTTTTCTTCCAATCTCTACCTTTTCATATTTCCTGCTGGGTCATATCTATCATGGTTTTCAATACCACGTGTCTGGATTCACACACTCATCTTCTCCTTTGACAATGCCCAGGACTCCTGACCATCTCTCTAGTTCTAACTAATTCTAACTCCATTCTAATTTGTCTGTCATTCAATTGACTTTATCCATAGCAATCTCCCGAATGTGATGATGGATTCATTTTGCCCGTCATCAGTGTCACGCGTCTCCCCAGAGAGGAGCAGAGAATCTAATCAATCAATGAAGTTCAAGGCTTTCTATCGCCTTGTTGAACTCCATAGTCTGTGCTGTTAGCCTGCATGCATCCTACACGCATTCCAGACAAATCATTCTCCCAGGCTGGGGCTCCTCCTCAGCTGCCCCCGAAGGTCAAGTGTGATGAACCCTCAGGCCTGGGACAGCTTTGCCATTTGCTCAGCCACTCAGTATTTTGCTATTGGTTTAATCATACATGCAAAATATTAAATCTCCTGTATAGCAATCATACGCATTGTTTTAATTACTTAGAGACATACAAGAAACTTGTCTGCCTATTTTTCAATGGTGCACAGTTGCCTATTTTTCAATGGTGCACAGTTAATCGAAAGGAAAACCTTAGGATCTTCATCTAAACTTAAATTTGTACCTCACATCCAAACCTACCATTTGATTCTGTTGGACGTATGCATCTTTTCTCTGAAGCATCCAGGACCATGGGATGGGTACAGAAGCAGTTGTAAGAGCCTTCTGTGTTCACGCACTGGCCATCAACACAACTGTTGGGGTCTTGACATTCGTCCAGATCTTAAGAGAGGTAATACAATGACTAGGGAAGATCAGCAATCCGTTGGACCTCATAGACATCCCAAGGCTAACACATTACCACATTGAATCCAGATTCCGGAGGCTGGCACTTTTCACATTATTTACACACCATCATCCAAACGAGAACAGCTCTGACTAAAGCCGCAAGTCATACTTATTGGGAAAAACCAGTGTTACTGCTACTGCTATTGCTATTAAATATGAAAGAAAACATCTACCCACAGGATACACTTAGAAATTTAAGGTCATGCATTTTTATGATAGTTTTAAAAGTGATTTCCTCTTGCTGCTGAGTATATATGGTTTTCTGCTTAAGTATTACAGCCAGTGTCAGAATTTTAAAATGACGTTCACTTCCATGGGATAAATGATGAAACAGGAGGTTCCGCAGACCAACAGAACTCTTCAGTCAGACCAGTGACCTGAATGAGAATTCCACACAGGGGATTTAAAGCAAGAGCTCTAAAAGCCATTCAAAGAGGAGACTGGATGGACTATTTCTCCTTCTTAAATCTTGCTCAAGGAGGCGACCCATAAAACATGAACGTATCTTTTGGAGACACGATTTAGATGCAAAGGCATTGCTTTTCTTACAGAGCATTACTTATTTCTTCCATCTGGTCTTAGCACAGCACAGGATAGGACAGCCTCTTAGAGCTTACCGAAACACTGCAGTTTCACAGGATCGTAGTACGTTCCCTGCTTACAGTAGCATTCGTACCCAGGCTGAGTGTTCAAACAGAAACCATTTTTGCAGATTTCCTGGCCAAACAGTACACATTCATCAGCATCTGTGGGGGGAAAAAGTATTTTTAAAAAGACAAAGAAAAGCTAGTTTTGATTTTCCACATAGAAAGAAGTCTCTAACCAATATTAGACTTCAAGTGAACAAATATACATCGTATCTATACTCCAAAGAATCTTATAGACCACAGCAATATAAATGTGTTAAACTTAAGTCTAATTGGAAGATGGAGAAATGCTATCAGATGAGGTCTGTTTATGGAACAATGATCCAAAGGGTTCTGGAGAAGGTGTATTTGTAATTGGGTTTCTGAGATTGATAGAAATAGCCTATGGATCCATAGAAGCATCAACCACATTCTCTCAAGAATATACTTTAGCTGAGAAGGTGGCTCAGTGGTACAGCACTTGCCTTGTAAGCCTGAGGCCCTGGGTTCAATTCCTCAGCACCATATAAGCAAAAAGAAAAAAGCCAGAAGTGGCACTGTGGCTCAAGTGGTAGAGCGTTAGCCTTGAGATGAAGAGCTGAGGGACAGCGCCCAGGCCCCGAGTTCAGGCCCCACAACAGGACTCCCCCCCAAAAAAGAATATACTTTATAGCTGGGTGCCCATGGCTCATGATCTGTCATCTTAGCTACTTGGGAGGCAAAGAACAAGAAGATTATGGTTTAGTGGTAGCCTGGACCAGAAAGTTCATGATACCTCCTCTTTTCAACCCATAGCTGGGCATCAGGTATCCCATGCTACTTGGGAGGCTGAGATTGGAAGGATCATAGTACCAGGCCAGCCCAGGAGAAATGTTCAAGAGTCTCCATCTTCATAGAGGGAAGCTAGACTCCAATGAGCACCTGTTGGGGAAGCTTAAAGCAAGTGATCACAGCTTCTTGTGCACACTTGGGTGAGAGATGAGACTCTACCCTTAAAACAGCCAGTGACAAACAGGGTTGGAGGTGTGACTCCGAAGTATCATACCAGCCCTAGCAAGCTTGAGGCCCTGAGTTCAAATGTCCAGTACCACCAAAAACGAACAACCCAGTTCCTAGTTGAGATGTACGAAGTATGAGGAGTTTTGACAATGCAATCAAAGGCAAGCAAAGAAAACCACAAGTTGTTAAGCAGGGTGGTAGGTTCATTCCTGCAGGTCTGAGAACTCATGGCCTTTCCAGACCACTCAGCAATAAATTGGATATAAAGGTACGCCAGTCCAATAAGAGTCAGAGAATCAATGGAGATAAGAAGACACTCCAAAGTTATTTATACCTCTATTAGCATCAGTGCTGGTGCTTTAGAGCAAATGCCATATAGCATTCATGCTAAAATTTGGGGACTCCACAGATGACTGGCTCAAATTTACACAGATGGAAAAAGGCAGAGCCAAGAAAAAAAAAACCCATATAGCCACTTCAATCTGAATCCAATCTTCTCCCAGCCCCTTTGCAGGAGTGTTAAGGCAGAGTAAGGAGGAATTTATTTTTATACAGAAGAGAAGATGGCTTTATGGTGAAATTGGGGTCCTGTTCATAATATGAAGCAAAATTTAACTACATTCCTGTAAAAATATAGTACGTGACATTTATGATCTTGAAAACCATTCAACACATAGTACACACCAAGTCTTCTTGTGATTATTCAATGGTTCTAAATAATAGATGTATATTAAAAACACAAATGGAATTTCTTACTAAGCTACTGAGTAATTCCATATTATTCAAACACTGCTTTTCCAAAAATGAGCAGACAATAAAACCGTATTTGTAGTTCTCTTTCCAGCCACTTAGCAGTTTTTAATATTAGACTATAACAGTAAAATGTCATATGTACACTAAAGTTTACTCTCATAAGAATAGGCAAATTAAGTAGTCACTGAGGAAATATTCATACATGTAAATATTTGCCCAAATTAACAGGCTGCACATTTTAGAATAGTATAGTAGTAGAATTAAACATTGAAAACATCTGCTTTAGTTTCCTTCTTTTCCATTTCTCATTATGAATCTGCAGCCATTAAAAATGGCAAGATAACTTCTATAAACATAAGAACTGTAGCTTGATTGAGGATCACAAAAAAGACAGGATAATGGACAAGTCTTTATGGTCAAAACCTCTGTGAATTCTAATAACATGCCTTTACAATATCAGAATAAAGTCAAGTAATTGCTGAGGACAGACTTTTGTGGCTAGCAGTGTAACACAGAGGATCTCATTTAATCTTCATGTTAACCTTTAGAACATTATTCCTACCCCAGAGCTGAGCAGATGGGAAGTCAGAAAAATGAACTCCCAAGATTATCTCAAAGTTGTGATTGCAAGTCACGGATCTGTCCAGATTCCCTGTGGCCTCCTTCTTGTGGCAATTAGGGCTTTGCAATTCATTTTTTTTTCTTTCTTTTCCTTTTTTATTTTTTTTTGTCAGTCCTGAACTCTGGGCCTAGATCAAGGCTAGAGCTCTATCAGTTGAGCCAAAGCACCACTTCTGGCTTTTTCTTCTTACGTGGTGCTAGGGAATCAAACCCAAGGCCTCATGCATGCAAGGCAAGCGCTCTACCACTGAGCCACCTTCCCAGCCCTTGCAAATCATTTCCATGGCCCAGGACACCACAATTCTGTGTGATCCAAGCTATGCCTCTACCATGATGTCTGAGGGGTGTTTCCACTTGATTCTGACCTTTGTAGTTCTCACCACCCGTGTTGTAGGATGATTCTCCTGCGGGGACAAATCCTTTCCCTCCAGGACACATTTCCGCGAACTCGGCTGATTTAAGGAGAGGAAAGAGAAATACATTGAAAAAGGAGGGAGGAGAGGAAAAGTCCCCCACATCTTTCCCTAAACTCAGGCTTTAATTCAACTTTGCTTTTCCAGGTTCAATCACTTAAATGCAATCCAGGCAAATAAATTCAACACAATCTCAGAGCTACAGTTAGATGCACATATAGCCAATTACTTCATAATTTTACTTACACACACACACACACAAAGTTCCTGCTTCCTCCACATTTTACTTGATGATTTTTATTTCTGTACTACCATGGTATGTAATATTTTTTAAAGGTTTAGTTAAGAGTCCATAAAGGAAAAATCTTAGCTTAACTATATTTCAGAGTAAAGTTGTGTCATACACAGTAAAGGTTGATCTTCATATAAAAATGAGAATAGAAATGAATTATCTTTTTTTCCTCTCTAAAATACCCTATGCAGGAACAGGACCTCCTGGGATGGGCAGAGTTTAAGAATTCATGCTGAGAAATGAGGGATAGGGAGTGAAGCCAGCTCACCACAGAGGAATTGCTCCTGACCTCAAGTCCCTACCTTAGGCCATGTCAACCTCCAGGTCTCAGAGTCATAAAGTCTCAAGGTCATTTCCAGGCCCACGGCCACCCCATGTCCCCGTACCAACATGACCATCACACTCAGCAGATCTTACCAGTCCCCAGGACCGGACAGGGGAAGATCTCACAGTTGTCCCCCCAGCCAGCTCCTGATGTACAGCAGCATTCTTGTTTGGTGACGTTGGGGGCCAGTACATTATCACAGAGACTGGCATCGTTGAGGTTATAGTAGCATTCTTTCTTTTCCTCTCTGGGTTGATCTACGTCTACATCTAAACAGAGAAGAGCAAGTGTTGACCAGACATCTCGGATTTACTTTATCCAACACACAACACAGTTTACAACACAATGGGAAATGTGTTTTGAAAAATAAAGAGAAAAAAATAACCACGATGGGGAAAAGAGCAGTGGATGGATCCCCAAGCTTTTCCATTGTCAAGGTCCAGCTCCTCCATTTCAATGGGAACCTCGAATATTGGTGGGTTTCTAATGCACACCAAGAGCGTAAATCTGTCAAAACCATTCCCTTTTACATTAACTGATTTCTTTATTCCTTCGAAATTTTGCTGTGAGGATAGTTTCCATATCTGCTTTTCGTGCCATTCTTTACAAAGCTGTAACACCTACTTAAATCAATGAAAATATTCCCCAACACTTGAGCAGAGATCTAGGGCTACACACAATATTTAACCCTTTGGTGGTTCCTGGAATTAACTGCATTCTCAATCCTTTCTGAGAAGGCCACAAGTAGGAAAATTCTTCAGTTAACTCAGAGACCATAAAACAGCAGATGATTGCTGAAAACCCAGATACTCAAATGACTGCAAAGAGCTGACTCTGAATAAAATAACACGGCTAATTGAACTTTGGAATAAAATTTCCAGTTGGGGTTCTGATCACTGTTCGCATGGGTCCTAGGAAAAACTTCTGCTAACAGACTCAGCCTCTTAGAAAGCACAGACTGGGGGCTTTAGAATAGGAGTATAAAAAACAAAATTCTACCCACTAGTAGGTAACACAAATGACCAAGTTCTATCCAACTTGACATTTTGAAGCACGCCTTTTGGGTCACTATTTGGGGATGAAGCTAAGAAAGTAGTCCAATTCGTTTTCTACCAAATGCTAGGGCCCAAATGACTGCCTATGACCAGTTACAACTTATTAATAGTTTTCATTTTATGATAAAACTAATGAAATGCTGACTACTGCTATCACAGCTAGGTAGACTAATTCCAATGAAATGTTTCATCAGCACTTCATTGTTTCCAGATTCTTTGGCCTGAAGGAATGACAGGGAATTAGGAAAGCACTTACCAGTGAGGATGAGGGAAGACATGCTTTTTTTCCCCTCATTGGTAGATTAACATAGTTCAGAAATTCAATGAGTTGTTTTTGTAATAGTTTCCTGTATTGTCAATCCACTGTGGGAACTTGAGCAATATATTAATAATACAGACAAGCCAGGCACTGCTGGCTCATGCCGGTGATTCTAGCTACTCAGGAGGCTGAGAGGATTGTGGTGTCCCGCCCTCCCAGGCAGGAAAGTCCATGAAACTCATCTCTAATTAATAACCAAGAAGCCACAAGGGGAGCTGTGGCTCAAGTGGTAGAGCACTAGCCTTGAATGAAAATGCCAAGAGAGAGTGTAAAATTCTGAGTTGAAGACCTAGTACCAAAAACAAACTACAGGCCTTTCTAAATTGAAAGTTCATAAAATTTATTCAGAGAAGCTACTAAGATTCTGTCTTAGCTCTTATGGTACTGAAAACAGGCAACGTTGGCAGCAGAAGTCTCATCTGACTCTCAGAATTCACAGCATCAACGAGAGCATCAAGACCCCCGCGCCACACTTTACCTCATCCTCTGACAACACTATTTTGGACAGCTTTGGGCTTGCACTCCATAAGCTGGTTGTGATCAATGGATGCTAGGTCCAAACCCAGGACAGGTGTCTCAGGAAACCAGGAAACGCTGACGTCTACACAGCAGTTTCAAATCATTTCCTCATGGTTCGTGAAGTGCTATGACACGCCACTGCACTCATCTGGCCTAGCTCTCCTCCAGTGTGCGTAGGACAGAATTTCACTAGGCCCTCTCTCGTGGAAGGCCCCTTTGTGAGAAGGAGTGCCAAGCCCTTGTACACAGAGCTACTTGGGAAAAGTAAGGTACGTATTTACATTGTTATTCAGTCATCTCAACAGCTGCAGAAAGTTTTATATCTCATTCCCCCAACATTGTATATACATTGCCCATATACTAGGATAAACAAGTTATTATTATTGCTTTCATTACTGCTATTATTATTACTTTTTAAAGTTTTGGTGGTACTGGAAATTGAACTCGGACCTTCACACTTGCTAGGTAGGCTTCATATCACTTGAGCCATGTCTCCAGCCCTTGTTTGCTAGTAGTTCTTTTTCAGAAAGGGTCTCCTGGATTTTGCCCAGGGTCAGCCTTAGATGGTGATCCTCCTTCCTACCTAGCCTTCTAGGCACCTGCGATCCCATCACCAGACCTGAGTTATTAATTCAGATGGAGTCTTGCTCCTAATCTCTGCATCCCAAATAGCTGAGATGATGGGCAGTCTCTTCTCAATTATTTTAGTTTGTTGGCCTAGAAAGGCAGCTAGAAATATAAGTCAAGAAAGCAACAGAGCGTTTTGTAAATCATGTTTACTTTATAGTCTGTGGTAAAAAAAAAAGATCTTATTTTTCCTTGTGCATGAAGATACAACTATGATTGGTATGTATTACAAAATGTAATTCTGTGGAGTCTGGGCTCAGTGAAGAAGGCTGTATTCACAGGGAATCAGAAATCTTAGGCTTTCTTTCAATGAAAGCATGTCAAAAGCATTGCATAATACACGTGTATGTAACTACATACTTAGATATTTTATATATGGTAAATAGTGTCTTGTTTTTCTACAGTAGTTATTAAATTCTCATGGTAGAAACTGAGAAGAAATTACCTTTTTGTTTTTTGCCTTTTTTTGAGGGGGGGGAAGGATACATACATTATTTTCATAAGGGATATAATTGATGATGTATTTATATTATTCAGGTTTTACACTGTATGTGTGTGCATGTATGTGTTTTAAAGTTTTGCTCTTATTTTCTTTCCAATCTATTTTAAAGCTCCATGTTTACACAGCTGAAGTGGAGGCCAGGCAGGCTCTCATCCGTGCTTGGAAAAAGACACACATTCTTTTTTTTTTTTAAATAAAACAATCCATAAAGGTCATTCTGGGAAAAACTATTACCCTATTATCTCCCAAGCTTTTAAATAATCAACTTCTTTGAGTATTTTTCCATTGGGGAAAACCTCATCAGTACATACACAAAATATAATTTCTTTGAAGAATATCTATTAGTTTGGGACACTGCTGCCAAGAATAGAGGGTTCCTATTGGAAAAATCATTTCTAAAGAGCAAATCTATTGTTATGAGAAGTGTTAGACATGGAAAAGAATGAAATTTTATTTCTGTTGAAGATTTTATGAATAAGATGAGCTATACCACATATCTTCTGCCATAGACCTTTAAGAAATAGATCTTTTTTTTTCTTCTCTGGAATTTTCAGATTTTGTTCTTCAATTTATATTCAGAGGTTGGCTTAACTTCTGGGTATAAGCATCTGTTTGTACATTTTAATTCTATTGGCTATAACAAGTAGGTGAGTTTTAGCCAGGCAATTGTGGCTCAAGCTTATAATCCTAGCTACTCAGGAAGCTGAGATCTAAAGATCAGGGTTTGAAGCCAGTCTGGGCAGGAAAGTCCTGAAGACTCTTATCTCCAATTAACTATCAAAAGGCTGGAAGTGGAGCCATGGCTCAAGTGGTAGAGCACTAGCCTTGTGTGAAAAAGCTGAAGAACAGCACTCAGGCCCTGAGTTCAAGCCTCAGTGCTGGCATACACACAAAGAAGTGACTTTATATGTGGTTGTTCTTTCTTTCCCCTAGGGATTCCTTTCTGTGGGGCTCATTTTGGTGCTGGGAACTGAATACCAATACCATATCCAATGTATCACCCAACAAATAGGTAGGAGTACAACACAGCTGCCTGTCGTTCTGAAAAGAGGTCAGTTTCTAAAGCTCTTCAGTAAGCATCGTCACAGGCTCTACTTCCAACCATCTCCCAGGAGGCTTGGTTCTCCTCTGTTTCAAAATATGCTTTCTATCACCTCACACTTTTACAAGGGAAGGGATCCTAGAGTCATGCTTCAAGATGTAACGTGGATCTTAAAAATTCACATGGAATTCCCCCCGCCACTTGTTTTCTCTTTTAAGAGAAATGTACAGTGAAGAACAATGTGTTATTTGTTTCTTAAAGTGAAATGCAGAAGAAAGCTAGGGTAAGTTCTGGGGTACCCATGCTGGGAATGGGCTGGATATGAAGGGCTGTGAACACAAAGGGAGAGCACAGGAAGTTGGTAACTTTGGATGGTAACTAGCTGGGAAGGTGAGAGGGCACAGGAGTAAAACCCCCTTGAAAGAGGATGGCCCACACACTTCCTGCTCTGAGGAGCTCAGGAGAGTCACAGCAACAAACTGGGCATGCTCCAGACTGAACGGTCCACTCCTGGACACACACCCCAACGTACAGTGCAGGGGGAGGTGGAGGACAAGATACTCAAGGAAGGCTCCCTGGCAGAGAGGACATCTGAATTTCTGAAACATAGTAAGAGGGGGATAAAAGGCTAAAAAATGAGTTGTGAAGTGCATACCGAGGAGTAAACTTAAGTCTGTGTGGTGGAATGTGTGAAGGGTGAGGGGTCTCTGGAGGACTTAGTTATAACTAGGAGCCAGGGTCCCAATTAGGACATCTGTTGGGTGGGCAGTTCCAAGGTGTGGCGCTGAGACCTGAGGATAGGGTAGGAGTGTGTTGACAGATGAACCCCACGTGATGTATGGGTTTGGGTGGTAGACACAGGGGCTTCTGCCCTCGATGTTGGGGTAGGGGGTGATGTCATTCTGTATAAAGACAGGTTGACTTAAGGCTTTGCACTTCAAAAGTACATGTTAAGCTGGGTGCCAGTGGCTTTTGGCTGTAATCCTAGCTACTCAGGAGGTTCAGAGCTGAGGTTTGAAGCCAGCCTGGATAGGAGAGTCCATGAGACTCTTACTTACAATTAACTACCAAAAAAAGAAAGAAAGAAAGAAAGAGCTGTAAGTATAGAAATGAAGGTGTAATTCAAGTATTAGAGTATCAGTTTTGGTGAAAAGCAAAGGGACCGTGTCCATTCCCTGAGTTCAAGCCCCAGCACTAGCACACAC